ATTATTTGTTTTATACTGCAGATCTGTTGGTGACACTTCATACTGGATTCATACGTTGGGGCGATTACTGAAACTTCAGATAGTATCTTGTATGTGCGTTTGTTTGGAAGACATTGGCCATACTGCCCGCATCATTATCAAACGGCGACCGTCACTTTATTTAATAGACAACGTTAATATTAGCTTGTACGGGATGTTCGCCACTAACGTACCGGGTCACGCTTCTATCGTTTCTATCAATTTGCATGCCTAATTACCTACTAAACAATGGGCAGATATGTGGACTACGTTCGGATAGGTCAGTGTCATATTCATTGTGGATCCAGCGACAACGGAGCAAGGTTCGTGGTCCTCTGTCAGCGAGTTCGGACCTACACTTGCTATCCGTGCTTGTCTGCTATAGAGCCGAGTGCTATCGCTATTTGCTTGTTTTCGGCAAACTTCACACTTTCGGATTTATAAGTAAGTTGACTTTTTCTAGCTCGATATGGTTAAAGACACAGACGTCAATTCCTCTCTGAGTAAACGGGCGATGGGTGGTAAAAACATCTACGATCCTGTCGATGTGGCCACATCGAACGGTCATGCACCCGTGGGCGAAGGTGGGAATACTGAATCTGAGAGTTGCGAACAATTAACAATGAAACCTCAGATAAGTTTGATGAGCGGCTGCAACATCATCATCGGTACAATTATCGGGTCGGGTATATTTATCTCACCCGTTGGCGTGGTCAAGTTTACCGGCTCCGTCGGCCTGTCGATCATAGTGTGGGCGGGCTGCGGACTATTCTCCATGGTAGGGGCGCTTTGCTACGCGGAGTTGGGGACATCGATCACAAAGTCGGGTGGAGATTACGCATACATTTTGGAAGCCTTCGGTGAACTACCTGCATTTCTCCTACTTTGGATAACGCTAATTATCATAAGGCCAACGTCTCAAGCCATCGTTGCCATCGTATTCGCCACCTATTTCTTGCAACCCTTTTTCCCGCAAGAAGGATGTTCACCACCGGAAGAAGCTGTCGCCTTACTTGCAGCAATTTGTCTTTGTAAGTACAAGTATGTTTAATTAAAATAATTTTCATTCCATATGGTAAGTTTATTGGCCATCTATGTTTTTACATATAAAAAAGTTATTACAAACAATGATGTACATTTAAATCGTCAGTCTTGCTCCAGAAATGGCTTTATTCGTCTTTGTTTTAGAGTTATAGTTTGAATAGTGCATTTATTTATGTATTTACGGGGTAGGTGTGAATCTGCGAGTACACTCTTTGTCTACGTGCTTTTTGTGTATTTAGATAGGGGGTCACTATTTGGGTACTTATTTGCATAATTATACTTACTTTGTCTCTATTGGTCTAAATAAGAGCGCTTCAACTGCATATTGAAAAAAGGTTATATTTTGTTGGTGTAAATATTTATATCAACTATCCCGCAGAAGGTATTTTTAGCTCCGCTGTCGACTTTGTCGAGCGGAGCTTATCATATGAGTGATTGTCCGTCGTCGTCGTCGTCCGTCGTCCGTCGTCCGTGTCAATGTTTTACTTTTTCGACTTCTTCTTGAAAACTACAAGCCTAAATGCTTTGATACTTGGTGTATATGTACCTTGGGTAGTCCTCTCTTAGGTTTGTTCATTTCATGTTGATATCTTTAATTCTCTAATTTTGGTGAATATTTCTGTCATTTTTGGTAAAAACTGATATTTTCGACTTCTTGTTAAAAACCGCAAGTGCAATTGCTTTGATATTACATATATAGGTACTACATGTGGACCTCTCTCAGATTTGTTCATTTTGTGATGATATCTTCAATTCTCTAATTTTGGTGAATATTTTTGTCATTTTTGGTAAAAACTGATATTTTCGACTTCTTGTTAAAAACCGCAAGTGCAATTGCTTTGATATTACATATATAGGTACTACATGTGGACCTCTCTCAGATTTGTTCATTTTGTAATGATATCTTTAATTCTCTAATTTTGGTGAATATTTTTGTCATTTTTGGTAAAAACTGATATTTCGACT